GGTGACGGTGGTTTGATGTTTTCCCAGCCCCCACCAGTCCTGCATGGATTCTGATTGGCAATTCTTTACTGAAGAGTAGCGCCTGCTCTATTCTCCAGTGAGCGAATTATTATTCTGAGAAGGTTCTTGTCTGTAAACACTCCACACAACATCTCCACTGAGAGAAGAGGTTATAATTATGCCATTATCTTACCCAGACAACTAATTTACTAACTCAGTGTGGCTTGAGCATGCACCCGGTTGTAGCTCAAAGCTGTTCGTGTTTTGGGGATTTGCAGGGAATTGTCCTTCATACAAGTCTGAGATGGATCATCCTGTGCTCCTACCCTATTTTTTTTCTCTCAAAGGGAAGCAGTTTAGCTCTTCCTTGGCAAGATCTTCAGACAGCAGAATCCAGCTTTGAGAGGCACGGTCTGCCTTGATATAAAGCGTAGAACAGTTTTATGGAGAGTTAGTATATCGGGGCTGTTCTTAGGGGTCTAACAGGATAGGGGTGGGAATGCGAGAATAGTGCAGGTCTTCCCTTTTGGGGCCATGCTGTATTAAAGGCCTTAAATTCCTCTGGGGCTCTGTGCCTGCCACCTATAAAAGATGTTTCTGCTGATGTACTTTTCTCATGGTCATTGGAGATGCAGCCACTCCCTCTGGATCCTGAATGTGCAGTATGGGTACTGCTAGCATCTGTGGAGAGCTTAGAGTGGGGCTGTCATGATGTGATGGCTGGAGCCAGGCCCTGGGGCAGAAGGATGAAAGCTGGCATCTTAGAGCCCCGACAGGAAAGGTCTGTTCCTAAGGCCTCAAGACTGTTTCTTGTCTGCGGTGGCTAGCTTTGAAGATCTTACTCTGGGGAAACCCATGTGATGCTGATCTAGTGAAGTGATTTTCAATCAGGGGGCCATGTAGTATGCATGCTAGTATGAGTTTAAGTGCTTGAACATGATTCACGAGATAAACCCTGAAATTTCACAAAAGAATCCAGAGCATCATAACCATTCTGACCTATTGTCTGTTTGCTGACTTCTTTGCAACAGAAGAATGGTTCTAGTGTTGTGTTTTTGTAGTCAAAAAGAGTAGAAACTAAAAGCTGGCATTTTCCAAGGGAGGGTTTGAGTCTCATGGGGGCCTTGAGTCTAAAAAGGTTGAGAACCAGTGACCTGTTGTGCAGGAGGAGATGGGGACAGGGGCTGTCGTGCTGCAGTGGCAGGCCAAAGCAAAGATCCCACTGCGGGGGGCAATACTGAGCAAGCCAGAGCCTTGCAGAAACCTAACGGCATCCATTAGGGCTGTAGTATGAAACACGACAAAAAAAAAGTGCAAGCATAGAGATGTGACTGAGTCAAGGAAAGCCACCTTCAAAGGGTATGAATGGAAAAGACATTGGCAGGACTGGAGAGCTCTGTCTCTTGATCTTCAGATGCTGTGTAATGCCTTGCGCTGTGGTGTCTTTAGTGCTGGGAGGGATCAGAGCAGAGGAAATAAGTGTCTGTTGCTTGTGTTCTCCAGGGAGAGGCTAATCAAAAGAACTGGCTGGCATTGCGTAAATGGCCCTTTGTTGCATAAAGGGAGACTCCTGGACTGCAGCTCATTAACCCTGCCAGAGGAACTGTGTGTGGCTAACCCTAACCTGAGGCTTCCTTCTTTCAGGAGTCCCAGCTGGTGGCTGGAGTTGCCTTTAAGAAGACGTTCTCTTACGCTGGGTTTGAGATGCAGCCAAAGAAGTATGAGTTGCCCAAGATTGCTTTGCTGAACATAGAACTCGAACTCAAAGCTGAGAAAGACAATGCCGAAGTCCGAGTCAATACTGTGGAGGTGAGAGCGTGAAGGGGGCCACGGCCAGACCAAACCCATGCCTCTAATGTACAGCAGGGCTCTTTAGGTGTCATAAAGTTACTGCTGCGTGTTTCTCCAGCCCACTGCATGGGTTCCCTTGACCAGAACAGTGATGCAGGGAAATGCTGTGCCGAGCAGTGCGATTTCCTCATGCACATGAGAAATCCCTGGATTGTGCCATGGCAATGCAAAAACAGCCAGTGGTTTGAGCCACAGAGCCTCCAGGACTTGATAAACACCTCTTTAAAACAGGGCATGCTTCCAATTCCCATTGCCTGGAACAGGCTCAAGGCAAAACTCTTCAGCTACAATGCTAGGGATCAATTAAAAATTCTCAGAAAGAAGGAGTTCCTAACATTTAGCTCTGACAACAGTGCTGTTACTTAAATCCCTTGGTGCTTTGTATGTGAATAGGAGTGTAATGCTGGCTTCTTGGGCATGTTTTAGCCTGAGAAATTGCCCTGTTTTGCTTAAATCTCTGCCTAGTTTCAATGAATAGGTCCCTTTATTGTTTAAAGCTTTGTCTAGCAGTGGCTTGCATCAGTGGCTAGAGTATTCCCCCTCACCCCCTGTATGTCTGGTTCACAAAGCCTGAGCCCTGCAGGAAAGCACCAGATAAGACCAGGTAGTACAGGACTGTTCCGCTTGCAAGTGCCCAAGGGCTTCAGGCTCTGGACTCCTTGGGCCATGCTGCTTTGTAGCCAAGAGCAGACACAGGAAGTGGAAGCTGGAGGAAGGATGGGGAGCCCAGATATGCCAGTGGGAACAGCAGTAGGAATGATGCAGGCAACAGTGACTGGGTGGTATCCCTTGGCCCATGGGCCATCTGGCCCATGCACTGCCAGTTGGACAGCCCTGAAGCAGTGCATTTTTTTTCTCTTGCAGTGACTGTCTACTGCCAGTACTGCCTGGGTGACAGTCTCATCGTCTCTGTTTAAACACCCCATAGCCATTGGTGCAGTGTTACTGACCTGTTTCCAAGCTGTGCTGAGCTGTGACTCTCTTCCTGCCCACTCAGCCCGGCCCTTGATCTGTTGAGCTGTGCTTCTTTAAGGCTTTTTAATGGACTCCATTTCCTGTTATAAAATGAGCAACCTAAAATTGCTTTGCCCAGTCTGTAAAGCGGTACTGCTGCTGCCTTCGATTCAAATGAGATCTCCCTGCACAGGTGACAGGGGATGGCACTGGCCTGCTTTGTAATGAAACCACCCTGAAAACCCTTCTCTAATCTCCCCCGCTCCCTTTCTAGGATTACCAGGCAATCGTGGACGCCGAGTGGAACATTTTGTATGACAAGCTGGACAAAATCCACAAGTCGGGAGCCAAGGTGGTCCTATCCAAGCTGCCCATTGGCGACGTGGCCACGCAGTACTTTGCTGACAGGGACATGTTTTGTGCTGGCCGAGTCCCGGAGGAAGATCTCAAAAGGACGATGATGGTAACGTTTGAGTAGAAGGTTTAGGCTGGTGATTAAGTCTTCCTGGTGCCTGTGTGTCGGCCAGGTCCCTCCCACTGCCTAGAGTGACCAAACATGGGGAGCGCTGGGTACCAAGATTAGTTTAAAGTTGCCTTTAAATGAATTGATTCTTTGCTCAAGCGGGGAAGGGATTATGAGAAGCCAGACTGAGCAGGGCATAGTACTTAGAGCAGAGCTCCTGTGCCCTGCAGTTGGCTGTGCTCTACACAGTTGGTGTTTTGAGCAAATCAGCAAGGCCATGACTTGCAAGGTGGTTCAGCTGGAGTTAGGTGCCCACACCCCAGTGAAGGTCAGTGGGAGGCAAGCAGCTTGACCCCAGACTGGTAGCTGAGATGCAAGTAGAGAAATGAATCCATTGGTTAGTGAGGAAGATGTTTAACTGACTTCTCAAGTACTGTTATGCCGTGCTCATGGGGTCTTTGTGATGTGACCTGTTGGGCCCAGTCCACTTCCCAGTCTTGGGTCTTCTGTCAGCTGACCAGCTGGCACAGGTAAAGCTGCCATAAAGCAGTGAACATAACCCCCTTCTCACACAGGAATTTATACCAGTATAACTGCATCCCCACTGGTGCTGACACCTGTACTGCTCTTAACTATAGCAATGTGCACCTAGGCAGTACCTTCATGCAGTGTGTTCCCCTTCTTTCTTCACAGTGGTGCTCCTAGGGCTTGTTCTACACTGGTGGGTGTGGGGGGGGTGTTGTTCTCTTTCTTGATGGCTATCTTTCACTGTCTCCTCAAGTGGGCATCAGAGCTACAGCCCCTGCCACTCCCTGACTTGTGGTAGGACTTGTGTATCGCTGCCACAGCAGCACAGTTAGCACCTCTTCAGGCTGCTTTGTCTTGAAAGTCTTTTGATGCCCTTGGTATGCCCTAGCCTCAAGATGGGAGGAGAATGCTCTCATCCCCTGGTGTGGGATGCTCTAGCATATTGCTTCCTGCCACGAGCCAGGTCTGAGGCTTTGTGGCTAGGTGGTCATGGAGAGTGCTACCTTACTGTGTGCATGGATGTGGCTTGTCAGCTGTTTC